TTGCCCCTTTGGTCTGAGCATTGGTAGAGGTAAGAACTCTAGTGGCTGGCCACTCTGCTTCTCTAATCTTCAGTTTTCACCCCCTGATAGCTGACTCCTAGTTTTTATTATTAAGACCTATTAGAATTCATGCTATAGAGAGATCCATCTGCTTTTGTCTCCTGAGTGCTGGAATTAAAGATGTGCACCACCATTCCATGCAAAATTTTTAAGTTTGTCATCATTTGCTTCTTGCTGAATATTCATATTCCTGGTGTTCTAGTGAATTGAACAATTTAAAGTATCTATTTATGAGCAAGAACAACAGTAGACATGTAATGTGAATGGAGGAAAGCCACAAGGCTTCAACGCTACACCAAGAACTATAGGCAATTAAGGATTGCTGAGAGTGGGAGAAATAGTTTTTTCCATGGACGAACACACCAGTTGGTTATCCAGTACCAAGTGGTCAGCCTTAAAAATATTTATACAAGTAGTAGTACATAGACTGAGCAGATGTACTTGTGTATTTAAAAGTATATATATATATATATATATATTCCTAAATAATAAATACATGTTTTTAAAAGAGCAAGGAGAGCCTTATGGGAAGGTTTGTTTGGTGGCTGATGGGGGGAGAAGTGATGTTATTATAATCTCAAAAAATAAAATAAGAATGGATAAAGAAAATGTGGTATATTTACAAAATAGAGTACTACTCAGCAGTAAGAAACAATGATATACTAAAATTCTCAGGCAAATGAACAGAATTAGAAAAGCAATCCTAAGGGAGGTAACCCAAAACCAGAAAGACAAATACAGTATGTACTCACTCATAAGTGTATACCAGACATAAAGCAAAAGATACCCAGCTTACAATCCACAACTCCAGACAAGCTTGAACCCTCTTCCAGAAACAGAAGCAAATGCAGAAATCTACAACTAACCAATGGACCAAGCTCCTGGAGTACAATCGAAGTGATAGAGGAGCGATAATATGAGCAAAGAAGTCAAGCCCATGATGGGGAAACCCACAGAATCAGCTGACCTGAGCTAGTTCGAGAGCACTGACTCTGGTCTGACAAATGAGGAACCTGCATAATACTGAACTAGACTCCCTTAATATAGGTGACAATGGTGTGGCTGGGACAATATATGAGGTCACTGGCAGTGGGTCTAAGATCTAACACTGATGCACAAACTGACTTAGTGGAGCCCATTCTATATAGGGAGATACCTTGTCCAGCCTAGACACAGGAGTGTGGGAGTGGAGAGGTGCCATGGTCCTGCCTCAACGACATGATGGCATAGTCTTAGTAGACTTCCTTGGAGAAGCCTTACCCTCTCCAAGGAGTAGATGAGAGAAAAGGGGGATGGGGAGGTGGAAGGAGAGAAGGGAGGGGGAACTGGCATTGGAATGTAAAAAATAATAAAAAAAGACTAAAAATAAAATAATAAAATATAATGATCAAGCCAGTAAGCGGCACTTCTCCATGGCCTCTGTACCAGCTCCTGTCTCCAGGTTCCTGCCCTGTGTGAGTTCCTACCCTGACTGCCTTTGGTGTTGACCAGAGATATGGAAGACTTTGCTTCCAACTGTTCACTGCAACTAATCAAGATTCAAGACCCCCAGCTTCCACTCTAGCATCAACACTGGACCCTCACTGAGACTCCTCTCTGCTGTCCTGCTGTTGCCCCGAGTCATGGAGATCCTGCAGTTATTGTTCTGCTAGCTCTCCCATACCGTGACTGGTCTACAGTAAGGCAGAATACTATGGTGCTGACAATATGAGGATAAGAAGGCTGCTTACCATGCAATGGACAGGAAGTAGGAAAGGACTCAGGATCAGTTATAACTTTCTGAGGTGTAACCCTAAGGACCTCCTTCCTCAAGCCCTGCCTCAGAAATAGCATTACTAGATAGAGAGCAAGTATTCAACATTTGAGTCTGTGGGTAACATGACCTGTTCAAAACATAAAAATAGTCAAAAATTAATTGTACAGTATTCAGATTTACTATGTTGAAATACAAGGTCCTTGTCATAAGATTTTGGTTGCTATAATATTTGGCTAGGCGGTGGTGGCGCACGCCTTTAATCCCAACACTTGGGAGGCAGAGGCAGGTGGATCTCTGTGAGTTCGAAGCCAGCCTGGTCTACAGAGTGAGTTCCAGGACAGGCTCCAAAACCACAGAGAAACCCTGTCTTGAAACCCCCCTTCATTAATAAAACATTTGTATTTATTTGTGTGTGTGTGGATATGTGCATATACATATCTGCAGTGGTCTGCAGATGTCCTTTTTCTTCTTTCAGTTTGTCTCCTCTCTATTTCCTATAGCTGAGGACCAAGCTCTGGACCTTGCCCTTGTTAGGCAAGTACTCTACCACTGAATAAATACCCAATCACCACTTAAATTTCTTTTGCAAAAAGATGTTGGTTCTGTTTGTTCTATTCTCTGGTACAGCAAAGAGACAAGGCATACTCTTGTATCATTGATCACTACAGGCCTAGGACATTGTGGTTAAACATAAAACTTTTCCTTTTTCTTGATTTCAGACACACCATGAGGGGCCTGTATTTTATACTTTATTGGCTTTTAAATTCCTCTACTGGGGGAGAGTCGTGAACTCTTCCTGTCATACATGCACTCAGAGGTATGCAGTAGTAATTATAACTGCAAGTTAGTTACTTTGCAGATATTACCCCATTTATCACTCATGGGCATGGTTGACCACACGAGAAACTGAGGCCATAGAAGTTGGATAATTTACCTCAGGCCCCCCCTGCTTGTGAATGGATAAGGCAGGACTTGTCTAAGCAGGTGTTCTTGACTTCTGTACTGTCCTCCAGGTGACTCTTTCTGCTGCATCTTACATATGGGAGTCATATTACTTGAGGACAGATCAACCGACACCCTCAGATGGACACATTCCCCAAGGACATACATCAGCTTGGTTTGTACAGTTTTTGCAAAGATTTCAATCATGAGAGAATGTAACATCTGAGGGATGTTTCCTAGAGAGGGGGGGCAGGCCTCCCTGACTCATTGGAAAACAAGGGCTTGTCTAAAGAGCTTCCTGAGGAGTATTCAGACTTAAACTATGAGGACCCTGTTTACATCCCTTCCTCATTCTGAAAATGCCTGAGGCTGAAAAGCTTTTGTTTTGTGGGTTATACTTGTTTAAGACATAGACGTCCCACTACATTTGGGAAAAAAATATTGTATCCTCTTAGCTTCTCATGAAGGAACTTTCAGAAAAGCATAGCATGTCTCAGTGCTAGACATAGATTCGCCAGTGCACACCCCTGTGAAGGTTACAGTACCTAGAGGAATCCTCATTATCAAAAACATGAATTACCTCTTTAAAAATAAAGTAAAACAAAAATCATGTGATTGGCTCAGATTCTAAAACTCAGAAGAAATTGTGGGAGAATTTACAACGCCTCTTCAGTTCCTACCAATTCCACAAACAAACCACCGTATTTTTCTGTTTGGACTTTGCCTATGCTTGAATACTTCCCTTTTGCAATGTCTGAGTAACTTCTGTAATGCTTCAATCCATACCCCACCTTCTTCAGAAGGCTCCAGATCATTTCCTATCCCCAAAAGAAGTGATCTGTGTAGATTGTGCTTCGTCCCAGTACCTCTGTCTGCCCAGTTCTCTCATAAACAGTGTACCTGCCTTTGTTTTGTTTTTGTCGTATTGGGGATTGAACCCAGAATGTCACACACACTATGTAAGCACGCTACTACTGAACCATATCCCAAGTCCCCCAAGTCAGAATTTTATTACTTCTATAATATAATGCACTCTCTCAAAGAAATATGTAGTGTTTGGAGGTGGTTCAGTGAGTAAGAACATTTGCTGTTAAAGCAAGAGGGCTTTTATATGAGTATAATATGACTTCTTGCCTATAACCCCAGCATCAGGGTATGGAGACCAAGAGTTTGGTGGCCAGTCAATGTACCACATACACAAATGCACACACATACACAATACATACATAATGCACACAAATGTGTAGCATAAAATTATTAGGTGATTTACATTTCAAAAAGATGGTATAACATATATTATCTCCTACCATAGGAAAATTACTATAGATTTGCACATTTGTTTTACTGGGAAAAGGTTGACTTTCTCTTGAGATACACACTCATGCACACACCTTGAATGCCTTTTAAATTATCTTCTTATTCCAATATTATTATTTTATTTTAGAAGCACTCTTATTTACATATCAATCCCTCCATTCCCTTGACCTCCCATCCTCCCATGCTCCCCCCATTCCAATATTCTTGTGTGTATGTATTTGTGTGTAGTAGATGTAGGTGTGTGTGTGTGTGTGTGTGTGCCAGAGGTCAATATTGAGTGTTGTCTTTAGTGTGTTCCATCTTATTGTTTGAGACAGGGTCTCTCCCTGAATATGAACATGGCTGTTTTGGCTAGACTGGCTGTCCAGCAAACCCCTCATGATGTTTTGGTCTTTACTCCCCTACATACACTCCTAAGCATTGAGGCTGCACAATCTAGCTTTTAAGAAAGGTTCTCAGTTATCCTAGGCTAACCTTGATCTCACTATGTAGTCAAAGATATCCACGAATTCCTGATCCTCTTGTCTCTACCTTCCAAGTGCTGGGAATTTCAGATATACACAACCAACCCTGGCTTTTAACGTGGTTTCTGGGGATCCAAACTTAGGTCCTCATGGCTTCACAGCACTCAATGACTGTACCATTTTCCTAACCCCATTACTGATGTACTCTCTTTCTTGAATTATTTATCTTGTCCATGCACATAAAAAAGAACTTCTGATTTTCAGAGAGTAAAGGGATTCCATTTCTTTTAAATATTTTATGTTCACTGATACCAGTATCTATGGGCTTCTATAACGGCAAATTCTGTATATTTAAATTATGTATTAAAGCACCTTTATCAATGAATACTTCTTAACTATGACACAGATATCATATTCTTATATGATAAACGTATATATAATTGCCTTAATTTTTTCCCTAGAATTGTCTATACCTATTTGAGTGAAGAACCATTTGACAAATACCAAGACAGTACATACTTCTGTCGATTTTTACAATGGAAATGGCTAGAAAGGTAGGTTTTAATTTAATACTAAGTAAAAGTAACTTTTCACAATGCATACTATTTGATGTTCAGTTTTCTAGCTGTCACAATGCTACTGGAAACCTTTAGTTGTATGTACTATTTTACATGGAAATAAATCTTTAGTAGGTGGAATGTTATATAATTTCTTCTGATTCAGTGGACCCTGTTCTTTTTAAAATGGCAGTTAACTCTCTTGGTACATTTGTAAAATAAAACATTTTCGCTTTATCGTAATGCAATGCAGTTGTTGAAACTTTGCAGTCTAAGCCTCTGTTCAAATTCTTGCTAGCTGTGAAGCATTAGGCAAGTAACTTAACCACTATGAACTGTAGATTCTTTTTCTATACAGAGATACTTACATTCCTGTCTTAGGGTTTCTATTGCTGTGAAGAGTCACCAGGACCATGTCAGCCCTTATAAAGGAAAACATTTAATTGGGACTGACTTACAGTTCAGAGGTTTGATCCATTATTGTCATGATGGGAAGCATGACAACATGCAGGCAGCCACTTTGAGGAGAGCATAGCAGTCTGCATTGCAATCTGAGGCTTGGTGAAGACAGGATTGTAGTCTGAGGTTTGGTCTCAGAAAAACAAAATAAAAAAAGAATACCAAGAATATTAAGAATATCAAATATATATGCATGCATGCTGGGTGTCATGGCAATAAAGGTTATATTTGAGGTACTTTACTTAAAGGAAAGTATGCTATGTTTATGTAGTTTTCCTCAGCAGCCTTTTGACAAGTTGTAAAATATGCCAAAGATTGATCCATGGGCTTTAAACGCACACATTTCCTAGAACGGGCTGCTTGTATTCTCATCTGAAATTAGAGAGGATAATTGAGATGTTCTATATTTTGTGTCAGTGATTTTAATAAATTTTAAGTGTGCTTGTTTCCCTGAGTAAAAAGTTGAGAGCTGTGAGTCCTGATTATAGACACCTTTGTCTCAGGCACTGCTTCAGGTGAGGTGGGCCCACAGATAACACTAACACCCACTTTTCTGTTTTAAGGTAACAGTGCAGTCAGATCTGATTTTTTTTCCATTGGTTAGGCGTCCAGTAACGAAGAACACGTTCAGATATTACAGAGTTCTAGGAAAAGGCGGATTTGGAGAGGTGAGTAACCTGTACCAGCCATGGCTGTACTTCACATGAGCTCAGTAATGTATCAGCTTTGCCAATACACTTATCTCCTTATTGTGCATTTTGAGAATAGGTTCAGGCAACTTGAAATGAAGGTGGACCTGTAAGCGAAAGGTACTTCTGCTTTAAGCTTTAAAACAATAACAACAAACACCTCGTATCTTTGTGACCTTACCTTCCATTTTCCATTCTGACAGAGCTATTTTTTCATGCTTGACATTTAAGTTAAGCAGTTTGTCTAGATTGAAAAACTTGTAAAATTTTTGTTATTCAGTACTAGCTCTAAAATTTATGTTGCATAGAGTACTATTTGATTTTGAAGAAATGAAGTCTCACTAACTTACCCAAGTTGGCTCTAAACTCCTGGGCTCAGTAAGCTGGGACCACAAATACATGCTCTTTTGTGGCTAACCAGCGCACATTGTCAAATATGCTTATTTAACTAATTTGTGTTTAGACATTGTCCTAGTTTGCTTTCTGCTGCCTTGATAAAACACTCTGACAAAAAGGACCGCAGGGAGGAAAGGGTTTGCTTGTTTTACACTTTTTATCTCAGACTACTATCAGGAATGCCACAGCATGAATTCAAGGCAGGAATATGTATGAAGCAGCACCATGGGTGAATGCTGTTACTAGCTTCCTTCCTCTGGGTCACGCTCAGCCAGCTTTCTTATACAGCCCAGGCCCATCTGCCCAGGAGTGGGACTACCTAGAATGACTGCAGCCTCTTCTTTCATTAACAATCAAGAAGATAACCCACAGATATGCCCCAGGGCAATCAGAAGGGGGATATTCGTTAATTGAAATTCTCTATTCCAAGTTCTAGGTTGTGTCAAGTTGATGATAAAAACTAACCAGTGTAGGTATGAATTTACATTATACCTGCATTAAAAGGTGTCCAGGGCCTCTTGTGATGGTGTGTGCCTCTAATTGGGAGTTACGAAGATAGCAAGTTTTAGACTAGCTTGTATTATGTGTGAGACCCTGAGAAAAAAAGTGTTCAGATCTAGGGCCATAAAACACAGTACAGTACTAGCCTCCCATGTACAAAGCATTGAGTATGATACCCAACACCATAAAAACAGTATTTTAAAATGTGTAAAGCAGAAGATCCTAGGGGAACTTCACACAGATTCTTGAGGGATAGGTTTTAAATATGATGACTGTCCTAGATAGAGATCACTTGTAGCAGCTAGATAGAGAATAGTGCACAGTTCTGATGTGATAATTCAAAAAGATATTAATTACCCCATTGATTATCTGGAGTGATCATATTCAGTATATGAATTTCCAAGGCCTCATGAGTCAGGCAAGCCATTATAAACTAACACTTTTTAAAAATCAGAAACAGGTTACATTGCCCAGATGTGATTTAAACCATACATGCACTCAAATTCTACTTTAAAACAAAAGCAGAATCCACCAGCATTGCCTCAAAATTAATTTAATTCAGAGTTATTGTGCTCAAGTGAGCTCTGTCAGTCATTTGCATGTTGAGGTAAAGGAAGCAGGCCAGAACTGCCATCATTTTGTATTGGAGGTGTATCCAATATAGCTGGAGACTTCCACAACTTAGCAGTTTGCATGTGACCAATTCACCCAACACTGATGTAAGCCCTTCATGGAGATGGTCTTTAAGGAACCATTCCTCTGTGGAATGTGTCCTAGTCCATAGACTCTTCTCTCTTCAGCTCATGCTATTCTCGATCTCCAGGCACAAGGCTTTAGATTCTGGCAAGGAGCAGAGGAAACGACATTTTAGGTTGCTGGGTCTCGTTTATAAGAAATGAAATTCTAGTTGGTCATGGGGGAACAAGAAGTTGAGGGGGTGGGGGTAGAATAGGGGGAAGAGGGAATCATAGGTTAGAAGACAGATCAGGCACCAGAGTGACCTCGAGTGATCTAAAGGTATAACATCAATTGGCAAGCTAAGCAATAGTGGAGGGACCACCTTGAATGCCCATTCCTGATAATGAACTTGATGTCTATAACCATCCGGGAGCCTTCATCCTGTGACTGATGGAAGCAGAGGCAAACACACAACTAAGCACTGAACTGAACCCAAGGAACCCAGTGACAGAGAGAGAGGAGTGATGAGCAAATTGGCAAAGAATGGGCTGGCAAAACCAGCAGAGACAGCTGATCTGAACAGGGGAGTGCTCTTGGACCCCAGACCGACAGTGGGGAGGCCAGCATGGGACTGATTTGGACCCCCCAAATGTGAGTGTCAGTGAGAAGGCCTGGGCAACCTATGGGGCCCTGAGCTGTGGATCAGTGTCTATCCCTGGTATACAAACTGCCTTCATGTGCCTATAGCACAAAGAGAGATGCTCTCTCAGCCTGGACTCTTAGGGGAGTGCCTTGACCCTACCAAGAGTAAAATGACAGACTCTAGATATCCCCTATGTGGAAGGATTTGGCAATAGGGTGGGAGGGAGGGGGGGAAGGGGAGTGCGGGAGGAGGGGAGGGAGAGGGAACTGGGATTGACATGTAAAACAAGCTATTTAAAATTAAAATAAAAAATGATAAAAAAAGAAATGAAATTCTAGTTCTAATCATATATATGACTTAAGATTGACTCAGTAGGATGACATGAGCAAGTTTTAATCATTGTGAAAGACAATATAGATTATATTTGAATACATTTACTGGAGTCTTCAAACAAATGATTAAATGGATGAATTAACTGTGGTAGCTCTTCACAGACTTTTTGTGGCTATGTTAGGCTCTCAAGGTCTAGAAGACAATGAGCAGTCTGTTTCTTTCTATTCTGCATGTCTGTCAGTAAGTCATTATAGGGACAGTTGCAGTTCCCCCTTATGTTGCCAATAGTAATTCTCTTACTTATGCTTTAAGTGTTATAAGTCAATCTCCAGCTTCCTGAGGCAAGCACAGTGGAAAGCATCTGGGTTCATGACTGGTTCCAAAAGTAGCACAGTGTGGTGAGAAGAGCATGTACTTCACAACTGTGCAAACCCAAGGTTAAGACCTGCTTGCCATTTCTAGTTGTGTGATCTTGGGTCACCATCTTGACTTCATCTTTGGCAGGAGAGTGATGGTCCTGCCTTACTTTCCTGAGGCTATGGAGCCATTGTGCCTAGCCTTGAACTTTTTAATTAAAAAAATTCAGGATTAATTAATTTTTATGTTCTAAAATTTTTGCTTTCATAGGAATCTAAAGACATATCAGGACATACTTACATAGACTCAACATGTTCACATACAAAACCCAGTTCCATTTGCATCTGGATAAAGCACACTGTTTCATTCACTTTACTCCCAGCAGCTACTATTGACAAGAAACTGGGAGTCAGTAGAAGATCCAGCTGAAAATTTCCAGTTGTCATTACCCAAATGGCCTTGGTTTATTATATGCTGTGTCCAGCCTTTACCAGAGAAGATTATCATAGAGAAAAGAGTTTACTTCATATAATCTAAAAATGTCATATATATATATATATATATATATATATATATATATATATATATATATATTTCTTTCTCCCTGCCCAAACTAGGTTTGTGCCTGTCAAGTACGAGCTACAGGAAAAATGTACGCCTGCAAAAAACTAGAAAAAAAAAGAATAAAGAGGAAGAAAAGTGAAGGAATGGCTCTCAATGAAAAAAGAATCTTAGAAAAATTGCATAGTAGATTTGTAGTAAGTATCTTATTTTTGTCATGGTATCAGTTACTTTTCTTGTTGCTGTGATAAAATACTTGTTCCAGGTCAGGTAGTGATTGCCTTTGATCCCAGCACTTGGGAGGCAGAGACAGGTGAATCTCTGTGAGTTCAAGGCTAGCCTGGTTGGTCTATAGAGTGAGTTCCTGACAGCCAGGGATACACATAGAAGCCCTGTCTTGAAAAACAAAAAAATTGTCTAAAGGGTTTATTTTGGCTCACAGTTTGAGAAGGGATACAGCTTATCACATCAGACAAGGCATGGCATCCAGAGTATACATTGGCTTGTCACATTGCATCTGTATCAGCAAACAGAGATATGAATGCTGGTGTCAGCTTGTTTTCTCCCTTTAATCAGTATGGGACCTTAGGCCCTGGGATAGTACCTCCAATGTTCATAGTAGGTCTTCCCTCAGTTAAACCTGGAAACACAATCCCAGACGCAGAGGTTTATTCCTATGTGATTCTAAATCCTGTCAAGGTGGCAAAACTTAACCATCACAATCTTCCCTTGTACATTGTTTGACGCAGCATTTTGGTCAGCAGTCCTGTAGCAAACTTTCATTCAAGTCATGGACTCAGGTGCTGTGTTTCTTCATTGAGTTTTGTGGAGTTTTGCTGCCCACTATTGGAAATAATTTCATTTTTTTAATGATGTCCCTCTTATTCTAGCATGGCAAACATAGAGCAGTGCTGATCCTGCTGTTGCTGTGTGACTTCTTACCAGTTTTATGCTGTCCACCATCCCATGCTGTCAGATTTTCTTCATACTTTTTATATTCATGATGAGTGCTTTTTCTTCCCCTTCTAATAGCCAAGCTCATGTGTTAGTTGCCTCCCATTGATCAGCTCTGGCCCATCAGCATGGTGACTTTGAGGTACTTAAAGGTTCTTTTTCTAGTCCTTCTAAAGTAAGCTTCCTCTCCTCTCTGATCTCTGTCTCTTTTCCATCCTTGGATTTTCTTTCTTCTTCTATTTTTATTTGTATTTGTATTTTCTGCACCTGAAGCGTTTGCCACTGGAACTTCAACTACCATACTCGAGTTGTAGGATCTTTCAAATTTTGCCCTCACCATTGCAGATAAGACCTGAAGATGGAGTGGAGTAATGTGAAGCAGAGTAGTGATCTCAGGTTGTAGGCTATGTGTTGTATAGTGTGGTTTTCCTACTTCTACTTAGATATTCCTTGGAGCATCCTTTGAAGTATAAAGACTGGGTAAGACAGAAGATGAGTCAGGCGGTAGTGGCACATGCCTTTAATCCCATTACTCAGGAGGCCGAGGCAAGCGATTTCTTTGAGTTCAAGGCCAGCCTGATCTACACAGTTAGTTTCAGGACAGCTAGAGCTGTTACACAGAGAAACCCTGTCTCAAAACCCACCCCCTCGCAAAATGACAGATGATGAACAATGGTTATAAGATTATTCTTTGTGTAAAAATTTGTTTTCTTGAAGTCATTTACTTCTTGGTATCAAGGTTATCTGCTTTGTAGAGACAGATGTTCCAAACCAGCACCTTTTCATAGCTAGCATCTGTGTTTAATAGCATGAGCTATGTGTTTATTATGACAGTTTCACATGGAGTAAAGTGATAGTCTTTAATAAAATATACTCATCTCAGAGCTATTTAAACATGTTGTACACCTTGAAGCATAGAAACCTCAAATTTAGCTTTATGAAAGGAATGTAAATAGTTACATCTTATGACACAACATAGTTTTGTTTCTGTATTTTTAGCTTCATATTTCATTTTATCTGTGATTCTGTTTTTTTTCCTGTTCATAATAAATCATTGGCAGGTTCTAACCTCCTCTTAAGTGTGGTCCTTCCCACTGTCACCTCACCTATGCCGCAGCACCCTCTCCTGAGTTCCCACCTCTGTCTATACTTGCCCCTTGCAGTCTGTTCCCCATGAAGTGATAATCTGTGGAAGAGTTCAATTGGGTTACACTTTCCTACACTGTCTTGTGGTCATTTTCATACTGAGAGTGAACCTGAACTCTGTTCCAGCCTCTTAGGCACTGAGTTACCACCCACCTACCCAAGATGTGACATTAGGCTTGGGAGCTGGGTGTGCCCTCTATCTGGAATATGGCTACCACCTCTGTTCATCCTTGAATAGCACTGATTTCTGTTTCTACGTTAGTCACTCTGTGCTTTACTGTCTGACGTTTATAGCATAGAAAAGCAGAGCCCTTTGGTGTTTTGTTCACCTTTGGTTCCTGGTACCTGGATCAAGGCCGGCATAATAAATGGTTTTCAATATTATTTAATGTGCATTAAGTGTATGTGAGATGGATTTTCATTTATAGGAGGGGAGAGAGTAAGGGTCTTTGTTTCTTGAAGCATGAATGAGAAATACCATGCAGTTTAACCTCTGGTCTAACATATTTCAGCTGGTGATGAAAGTGGACGGCAGCGATGCTATGGAGATTTCATCCCACCCTCCTCATTCTCAACCCTCTCCCCTATACCTGCGGATATACTGTCCTAGTGTTAATAAAAAATGTTGACCAAGTTAGACTTATTCCAGAAATGAAGACCAATTAATATAATTTATCACTTTACTAGAATAGAGGGGGAAACCATATAGTTATTTTAATAGTTGCAGGGAAAGATTTTATTAAAATCTAGTTCTCACCTATGATTAGGAGATCTAAGCAAGACTGGAAAGATGGCTCTGCCATTAAAGACTAAGCCTACAACCAAAATGTCAAGAGCTCTCAGCAAACTAGCTTTACTTTCTAGCCCACATCATCTATCATGTGGTGCTATTGGAATGCCTGCCCCCACGTCTAGGACACTCTTTCTCACTATCTTTACTTAACATTGTATTGAAAATTCTAGCCAGTGCAACAAAATAAAGGAAAGAAGTTAGGGTTAAATTAGGATTAGAATTTAGAGAAAGAAGCAAAGGTGTAAAAATCATATTTTTGAAGGACAAAACTGTATGTGGAGACAATCTTAGATTTTCTAGATAACCAACCTAGAATTTAACTACATGACCACAAGCAGTTAGGTGTGCATGTGTCTGTATGCCTGTATTTTTATCTGTACATGTGAATATATGCCAAATACACACTTATGTACATTATTTTTGCTTTGTTTCCTTTTGTTTGTTTTGAGACAGGGTTTCTCTGTATTTTTTGGAACCTGTCCTAGAACTCACTCTGTAGACCATGCTGACCTCCAACTCACAGAGATCCAACTACCTCTACTTCCCGAGGACTGGGATTAAAAATGTCCACCACAGCCGGGCGTTGGTGGCGCACGCCTTTAATCCCAGCACTTGGGAGGCAGAGGCAGGTGGATCTCTGTGAGTTCAAGGCCAGCCTAGTCTACAAGAGCTAGTTCCAGGACAGCCTCCAAAGCCACAGAGAAACACTGTCTCAAAAAACCAAAAAAAAAAAAATGTCCATCACCACTAGCCAACTCCTATTTACATTCTTAGAGGCCAGAGGAGGATGTTGCATTACCCTTGGACTTATTTTCTTGAGATAGAGTCTCTGACTGAGTCTGGAATTTGTTGACGTGTTTATTGTTTTTTTTTTTCCCAGCTAGGCTAGCAGGCCAGCAAGCCTTATCAATCCTTCTTTCTCCCCTCCACCCCAGGACTGGGATTACAGGTATTCGTGGCCATGCCTGCCTCTGCCTCATGTTAAAGTCGTGTGCCACCACCGCATTTATAATAGCAACAAGAGCCATCTCAGTCTAGGCAAAAGTCCTACAATACAAAAATGTGCAGAACTTCTATATTTAGAACTGCAAGATGCTAATATAAGAAATTAGAGAGTGTCTTAACATAGAGAGAAACATGTTCTCAGACTTGGTGTTTTAGTGTTGTGAAGATACTGGCTCTTCTCAGTTGATCTAGAGATTAAATGAGTTAAGTATAATCACAACCCAAATCCCAGCAAGGTGAGTTCATGTGTGCATGTGTACATTTGTTTTTGAACTGTCATTCAAGACAATAGAAAGGTGAGGAAAAGCTTACCAGGGTCTGGGAATGTAGCTCTATGGGAGAGTACTTGCCTGACAGATAAAAAGCACTAGGTCCAACTAATAGGAAGAGGAGAAAGGGAAGAAGTAATACTATTTTTGACCATGTACATCTGTAATCCCAAGTACTCAGAAAACTGAGGTAGGAGGATCACTGATCCCAGGAGCTTAGGACCAGCCTGGGCAAATCTCATTTCTTCAAAAAGCAAAACAAAGCAAAAATCATAAAGGCATTTCACAAAAAGGTTGCAACTGACTAATAAATTTATGAAAAACTGCGAGGAGTATTCATTGCAAACTAAAACCAGATTAAAGTTCAAGTCTAGCTTCAGCTATATAATGAGTTAGAGACCAACCTAGGCTACATAGTGAAATCAGTTTTCCAAAACTAAGGATTTAGGATGTGGTTCAGCATCACAAAACAACAACAAAATGACACAGTCGGAAGCTATTATATCCTGACCATCCTGGCTCAAACCAAAAAGGTCAACATCACTAAATTTTGGAGGAAATGTGGAGCAGCAAAATCTTACCAGAACCTCTGAAGGCAGGTACTCCAGAAGTTCTTGGTGTCACACAGTCAGACCATAGTGTGGAGAAACCAGTATCCAACTACTCACTTTCCGTACAGAGCTGTAGTGAGCTCTTTGCTAAGTAAAGGTCCAGAGACATGATGTGTGGTGTGTACTTCTCTGAAGTACATAGTGTTTTGGTGTTCCAATTATAAACCTAACAGATAATTCAGATTATTGTTGGCAAATAGAGTAAGTCAAGAGTGCACAAGCAGATTTTTTTAGGTGTGTGAATCTTTTTTTTTTTAATGATGCTGTTGTCTTTAGGTTAGTTTAGCCTACACTTATGAAACCAAGGATGCCTTGTGTTTGGTGCTAACCATTATGAATGGAGGGGATTTGAAGTACCACATTTACAACCTGGGCAACCCTGGCTTTGAGGAGCCAAGAGCTGTGTTCTATGCTGCAGAGCTGTGTTGTGGCTTGGAAGATTTACAGAAGGAAAGAATTGTATACAGGTAAGAATGGTGTGACCTGACAGAGCCTGTGAGTATTGAAGCCTGTTCACCTAAGCTCTGACTTCTATTGGGAGCTTCCTCTGACTCATGCCATCATGAGTTGGGAAAGGGACAACAGAGTGGCATTTGGAGGGGTGAGGGTTGTCCCTTAAACTGTAGGACAGAGCAGTCAGAAGTGTATTGTTGTTTTCTTCTTAGTCTATCTTTACTCTTCTAAGAAATTGTCCTTTTGAAGGAGAACCTTTTCCCTTAAGTTGATCAGATAAACAGTGCTATTTGTGTAAACATGAAAAAGTCTGTTTCCAGAATTCTGAGATATTTGATAGCTCTGATAAAGACATTCATAATATTCAAACATAAAATAGCCCAACAGAATCAAGTGTACTAAAAATGTTTTCTTTCCAGGTGATGGTGGTGGCACATGCCTTTAATCCCAGCACTTGGGAGGCAGAGGCAGGTGGATCTCTTTTACTTCAAGGCCAACTTGGCCTACAGAGCAAGTTCAAAGACAGCCAAGTCTACACAGAAAAGCCCTGTCTCAAAACAAAACAAGACAAAAACCAAAAAAGTTTTCATTTTAGAATTCATTAAGAAAATCACATTTGTAGTTAAAATTATCTTAGTACAATCAGTATATTTAAATTTTGAAAATAGTTTCTCTCTCTTAGATATTGGGGTTGTTACACATTGAATCTCATATTGATCACTTTCCTTGGGACTTTTGTTTTCTCTTCCGGAGATTTACTTGCCAATCAATCCCTAATGAGAATTTCTTATCTTTAAAAAACTTTTTGTGCATGTTTGCAGAAGCACATGCATGGAGGGCCAAGGACAGTTCTGTGTGTCAGTTCTCACCTTTCAGCTTGTTTGAGACAGGGTCTTGCTGTGATAGCTGGCCTGTGAGAATCTGGGGATTCTCTTGTCTCTTTTCTCATCTCACCACAGGAACACTGGGATTATAGATGCTACATCCCCTGTCTTTACATAGGTTCTGGGTACTTAAACTCAAGTCCTCATGCACAGGAAGTGTGTTTACCACTGAACCATCTCTCCAGCCTTCTAATGAGAATTCCTAACCTTGTGCCTTTTTAAAAATATATAAATTCCAGAGTGATCTTTGTATCTCTTGCTCTCATCTTCTTCCACTCAGTTATCACTTTTCTCTGTAATATCTCCATCAGTCTCTATTTTCGATGGTGAGCAATTTAGTCCATGTCTTTCTCTAGTCAGTCAATAGACAGAGACTAGAATTGGTGTCCATACTGCCTGTGTTGCCCCGGCACATTTTCCAGAAGATCCTGACAAGTCATGTTTGAAATGACCTTTGATCTTATTTCATCTTCCTCTGGTATGGGACCCTTGTTCACCAGGTGTTCAGGCCCTTAAGTAGTTAGCTTTCTACTAACTTCTCCAGTCTTGTTTCCTGATGACCCACATCAGGCTTCTCAGTCCTTGTTATACAAGTGTATTTGTGGTTTCCAGAACATCTAAGAAGTCCTTGTAACTCCAGTGTTGGCAGTGAGCTCCTCTGTGGATGCCTTATTCACTACAACCCCTCTTCCCATTGATAAGAGACCTCTGCTTATCTTTCCTGAGTTATTCCAGTAATGTCTCTGTCTTAGTCACTGTTCTGTTTCTGTGAAGGGACGTAATGATCAAGGCAACTCATACAAGAAAACACCTAATTGGGAGCTTGCTTACAGTTTCAGAGGTTTAGTCCATTATCATTATAGTGGGGAGCAGGGCACTCTGTAGACTGGTGCTAGAACAGCAGCTGAGAGCTATGTTCCGATCTGGAGGCAGAGAGAGACTAGGCCTAGCATGGGCTTTTGAGAGCGGTGATCACATGACAGATTTCCTCTAACAAGATCATGCCTCCTAATCCTTCTGTCAAAGAGTTCCTCTCCCTGGTGACTAAGCACTCAAGAATGTGCGTTTGTGGGGGTCATTTGTGTTCTAGCCACCACATCCTCTCCCTAGCAGCATGAGTGCTATCCCTCCAGCATCCTTGTAGTGCTATGGAGAGCAACTCTTTGTCTAGAGTTGGTCACATCAGACTGTGAGCTTCTCAAGAGTCCCTGATTGACCTTCAGTTTTTCTGTACTGTTTCACACAGACCAGACACTAGCCCTGCAGAGGAGCGGATACAGCCTTACCTTCAGTTACTGAGCAAGGGGAGGTTATCACCCTGACCGTGATTCTTCTTTTTTTTTATCATTTTTTATTTTAATTTTAAATAGCTTGTTTTACATGTCAATCCCAGTTCCCTCTCCCTCCCCTCCTCCCGCACTCCCCTCCCCCCCCCCCAGCCTCTCACCCTATTGCCAATTCCTTCCACATAGGGGATATCTAGAGTCTGTCATTTCACTCTGGGTAGGGTCCAGGCACATCCCTAAGAGTCCAGGCTGAGAGAGCATCCCTCTTTGTGCTATGGGCACACGATGACTGTTTGTATTCCAGGGATAGACACTGATCCACTGCTCAAGGCCCCATAGGTTGCCCAGGCCTTCTCACTGACACTCACATTTGGGGGGTCCAGATCAGTCCCATGTTAATCTCCCCGCTGTCGGTCTGGGGTCCAAGAGCTCTCCCCTGTTCAGATCAGCTGTCTCTGCTGGTTTTGCCAGCCCATTCTTTGCCAATTTGCTCATCACTCCTCTCTCTCTGCCACTGGGTTCCTTGGGTTCAGTTCAGTGCTTAATTGTGTGTTTGCCTCTGCTTCCATCAGTCACTGGATGAAGGCTCCCAGATGGTTATAGACATCAAGTTCATTATCAGGAATGGGCATTCGAGGTGGTCTCTCCACTATTGCTTAGCTTGCCAATTGGTGTTATCCCTTTAGATCACTAGAGGTCACTCTGGTGCCTGATCTGTCTTCTAACCTATGATTCCCTCTTCCCCCTATTCTACCCCCACCCACTCAACTTCCTGTTCCCCCATGACCTACTCTCTCTTTCTCTTTTCCCCTCTCTTCTTCCCAGCTCCCACTCCCCCCACCCCTCACCGTGTTTCCCATCCATTCAGAGGATCTTGTCTCAATCCTCTTCTCTTGGGTACTATGCATATATGCATATCTTTTAGGTTCTTTCCTGTTTCCCAGACTCTCTATCAGTGGAAGTGCAGACTGGCACTATTCTGATCCATGACTAGAAACCATATATGAGTGAGTACATACCATGTTTGTCTTTTTGCGACTGGGTTACCTCACTCAGGATGGCTTCCTCCAGTGCCATCCATTTACCTGCGAATTTCAAGATTCCATTGTTTTTTTCTGCTGAGTAATACTCCATTGTGTAAATGTACCACATTTTCTCCACCCACTCTTCAGTTGAGGGGCATCTAGGTTGCTTCCAGGTTCTGGCTATTACAAATAATGCTGCTATGAACATAGTGGAGCAGATGCCCTTGTTGTATGAATTTGCCTCATTTGGATATACGCCCAAGAGTGCAATTGCTGGGTCTTGCAGTAGATTAATTCCCATTTTTCTGAGGAATCTCCACACTGATTTCCAAAGAGGCTGTACAAGTTGGCACTCCCACCAGCAGTGGAGTAGAGTTCCCCTCTCTCCACATCCTCTCCAGCATAAATTGTCTTCGGTGTTTTTGATTTTAGCCATTCTGACAGGAGTAAGATGGTATCTCAGAGTTGTTTTGATTTGCATTTCCCTGATGGCTAAGGATGTTGAGCACTTTCTCAAGTGTCTCTTGGCCATTTTAGCGTTCTCTATTGAGAATTCTCTATTTAGATCTGTACCCCACCTTTTAATTGGATCCTTTGGTGTTTTGGAGACTTGTTTCTTGAGTTCTTTGTAAATTTTGGAGATTAGCCCTCTGTCAGATGTGGACTGCCTTTTTGTCTTGTTGACTGTGTCCTTTGCCTTACAGAAGCTTTTTAGTTTCAGGAGGTCCCATTTGTTAATTGTCGATCTCAGTGTTTGCGCCACTGGTGTTATGTTTAGGAAGTGGTCTCCTGTACCAACTCGTTGAAGAGTATCTCCCACTTTCTCTTCTAAGAAAAGTTTTGGTGTGGCTGGATTTATGTTGAGATCTTTGATCCATTTGGGCTTGAGTTTTGTACAAGGCGATAAACATGGATCTATCTGCAGTCTTCTGCATAGCAGTACCCAGTTATGCCAGCACCATTTGTTGAAGATGCTTTCTTTTTTCCATTGTACAGTTTTAGCTTCTTTGTCAAAAATCAAGTGTTCATAGGTGTGTGGGTTAAAATTAGGGTTTTCAATTCGGTTCCATTGGTCTACATGCCTATTTTTGTGCCAGTACCAAGCTGTTTTCAGGACTATAGCTCTATAATAGAGCTTGAAGTCAGGTATGGTGATGCCTCCTGAAGTTCCTTTATTGTATAGGGTTGTTTTGGCTATCCTGGGCCTTTTGTTTTTCCATATAAAGTTGATTAATGTTCTTTCCAGGTCCTTGAAGAATTGTGATGGAATTTTGATAGGGATTGCATTGAATCTGTAGACTGCTTTTGGCAAGATTGCCATTTTTATTATGTTGATCCTACCAATCCAAGAGCATGGGAGATCTTTCCATTTTTTGGTATCCTCTTTGATTTCTTTCTTTAAAGATACAAAGTTCTTGATATACAGGTCTTTCACTTCCTTGGTTAACATTATCCCCAGATATTTGATGCTGTTTTTGGCTATTGTAAAGGGTGATGTTTCTCTGATTTCTTTCTCAGTCACTTCATCATCTGTATATAATAGGGCCACTGATTTTTTTGAGTTTACCTTGTATCCTGCCACATTGCTGAAGGTGTTTATCAGCTCTAGGAGTTCCCTTGCGGAGTTTTTTTGGGTCACTTATGTAAACAATCATATCATCTGCAAATAGTGAAAGTTTAACTTCTTCTTTTCCTATTTGTATTCCCTTTATCTCCTTTTGTTGTCTCATTGCTGTAGCTAGAACTTCAAGTACAATATTGAAGAGATATGGAGAGAGTGGACAGCCTTGTCTTGTTCCTGATTTTAGAGGAATTGCTT